GCCCCTCTCCTTCCTAAGGCTCTTCAGACACAGAGAGAGCACATTTTCTCCAGGGCTGATGGCCCATTCCCATGGAGATCAGCTGTGCTGACCAGTGACCACCACAGCCACAACAAGCAGCTCCAAGCCTCCCTGGGCTGGAAAGGCAGGACACAGCAGAGCAAACAGTGAGAGGTTGCTGCTTTCTCCTGTGAGGACCAACATCAGCAGGCAGCGTGTTGTCTAATCCTTTTAGGGTTAGGTGTGAAACCGTGGGTTTCATGATGGCCACATGTCAGCAGAAGAGTGCGAGGTTGTCTGGATAACCTTCCACTCCTGAGACAGACCCTTTCATCACCACCACTGCCATAAAGCATGCTCCCACATTGCTCCCAGTCCTACTCTCCATCCCATTTATCCTCCTCTGCTCACAAATTTCTGTTTTGACTTCCCAGCTTAACTTGGTGAAGCGTGGATTTTTACCAGAGCTCCTAAAGAGCACACTTGCCCACAAGCATCACTTCCCCAAAGGCTTCAAAATGCTCCCACCCCTCCCTGCAGCAATGGGGCAGAGAATTTCTCAGATAAGGTGACTGAGGGAACTGTGTCATTTTTAAATGACTAAGCAGCCTCTTTCCCTAGACCTCTTCTCCGAAACAGATGAACAATGTGGGGATGACACTTCCCAAAAGTTTTTGGTGAAAAGTTTCGGCCCAATCTGGGGATGAGATTACACCAGACTGCAGACAGAGGGTATTAATGTAAAGTGCCAGCAAGCTGGTGAAGCAGTTATCAGCTCTTACAGAAGAGAAGTGCAGAGTTAGTGCAGAGCCTCTGCTAACAGCAGGCATGCTTCTGCAAGCTGCCACGCTCCATCAGTTGGCCTTGAAGTGAACAAAAAGCCCCAGCAAACATCACCTGGTGGAGGACACTCATTGCCACTGCTTCTGAGGAGCTGAGACCGGCAGTGCAGGAGCTCAGAGCGCCTGTCCCAACTCCCAAGCTGAACTCCAGGACATTTTCCCCAGACTTCAGGCAGGGAACAGAGCGTTGTACAGCGTGGTGGAAGCAGCACTACAAATCCAGGCCTGCCTGGTGAGCCCTTTTGCTCTGGCAGGAGAGCCCCACCAGTGAGGTGCCAGGCACGCTGTGCAAGTGCCAGTCTGCTGCCCCACGCTGCCCACAGGCCCGGCACATGCACTGCTCAGTGCGGCTTGTACCAGGCTCACAGCACTCCACGGCCTGCTGGCCCCTGGGAAGGAGCAAGAGCTGCTATCATGGGATTTATTAAGCCAGGCTACAGGCTGCTCCTCAAACCAGGGAAAATATTTGCTGCCAATGGACTGCAGGCGAGGGAATCGCTGTAGGGCTGTGTGATGATGGAGAGCTGCACATTAGACTTGGCTCTTTGGCAGGGATCACTCCCACCAGCTGACTGGTGACTTTCCATCAAGTGCTTACTGGCCTCCAAACTCACAAGGCACTAATGGCACCTTATGCAAGCTCTGCCTCCCAGAAGAGGGCAGAACACCCTCTGCGCTGTGCTCGCAGACAATCCCCAAACACAAGACCTAACAAGTAATTTGTATCCCAAAGCCTTTGACAACCATCAGTAACAGCTTGAGGGTCCTATTCCTCTCTGAAATCGCAGTGGTATTTTTCTTGCGTTTGAGACTCATTAAATGCTGCCCACCCATCACCTCTCATTGCTCACAGATTGCTTGTTGGTCACCATACCCTCATAGGCTCCAGTTCAGAGGCGCTCTTCAGAGATTTCAACAAGAATTAAAATTTGACTGTCCTGGGCTGCTCACTCATCCACCCTGGAGAACAGACATGAAGGCACACAGAGGACCCATGACTTCCCTGTCACACTGTTTCAGCAAGCTCCTCTTGCCTGCTGGAGGCACAGACCTCAGTGTCCGAGGAGAAATACCTCCAATATATACTGGTCTTAGAGCTTTTATTCAAGTATGCAGTTTTCTAAGCCTGTACTTGTTACGAGGTGATACAACATCTGTGAACTATGGCTAAATGCACTTCCACATGTTTGTTTCTGGGCATGAATACTTTACTAGCTCTTAAGCTAAAACATCTGAAATCAGCACTCAAAATTTTGGCCCGCGTAAGCCCTAGCAAGCTCAACTGTTACTGGGCTTGCCTGCACTGTGTCCTCAAAGCCAAGATATGGCCCTTCCCAAATGTTCTGAAGCAGTGGTTTTAAACTTCTGAAACAACCATTTGAGAGTTTTTGGTCAAAGAGCCATTTTATGTTTTAGCAGCTGGGAGAAAAGCGATAAGGCTTGGGCAGCACTAACCACTGATGTAATGCTCTCTTACGGATTGCTTCGCTAAATACATGGTTTGGTTTAGTCTAAAGCCTCCTCCTGTCTGGGGCTGTCAAGTCAATGACAGTCAGTCGTAAATTAAACAATCGTTAAAACTGAGTATCACTTTTGCAAACTGAAGCTTCAGTGCTTCCACAGTTGGGGAGCTCTTTTCCCCTCCAAGGCTTGCTGGGCACCCAGAGGAGACGGGAGTGCGGAAAGGAGAGTTGGGGACTGCGGGAAGGAGAGGGTACAGGTATCATTTCCAGAGGGAGGTGGGGAGGAGAGGAGACGGGAGTGCGGGAAGGAGAGGGGACAGGTATCATTTCCAGAGGGAGGTGGGGAGGGAATGGTAACCTCTAGAATTGGTGGGAATGGTAATAGAGACGGGAAAGGCAACTTAGAATGGCAATTGTGACTCAGTTTTAATCTAACTGATGGAGCAAGGGGAAGGAGAAAGCAGACAAGAGCAGTCACAGTTACAAAACCAGAATTAACCCCTGCATCCCCTTGTGACCAAGAGGGCCAATGGAATCCTGAGCTGCACAGGGAAGAGTGTGGCCAGTAAGTCAGGGGAGGTCGTTCTCCCCCTCTACTCTCTACTGGTGAGGCCACAACTGGAATACTGCATCTGGTTCTGGGCTCCCCAGTTCAAGAGAGACAGTGAACTATTGGAGAGAGTCCAGCGTAGGGCAACAAAGATGATGGAGGGATTGGAGCATCTCCCTTACAAGGAAAGGCTCAAAGAGCTGGGGCTCTTTACCCTGGAGAAGGGAAGGCTGAGGGGAGGCCTTAATCTATGTTTACAAGTACCTAAAGGGTGGGTTGAAGGAGGATGGAGCCAGACTCTTTTCAGTGGTTTCCAGCGATAGGATGAGGGGCAACGGGCACAAGCTGGAACATGGGAAGTTCCACGCAAATATGAGGAAGAATTTCTTTCTGGTGAGGGTGGCAGAGCCCTGGAACAGGCTGCCCAGGGAGGGTGTGGAGTCCCCTTCTCTGGAGATCTTCAAGACCCGCCTGGATGCAGTCCTGAGTAATATGCTCTGGGCAACCCTGCTTTAGCAGGGGAGTTGGACTAGATGATCTCTAGAGGTCCCTTCCAACTCTGACAATTCCGTGATCCCCACACAGACACTGCTGGCGGCACGAAAGAGCCTCTGATAGCTGGGAGGTAACAGGAGTCTGTTGTTAAGAATCATCTCACAAACCTCCTTCTGCTGCCTCGCTGAGAGCAGTGCAGCAGCAGCACCGCCTTGCAATGGCTTGAAATGCTATGAACAGGAAAAGTAACTTTTGATAAAAGACCCAGAACTATGTGCCATAGTCCAAACACAGAATGGGAGGTACAAGATGAGAAACCCTGCAGGGACAGGTGCACACAAAGAAGCGAAGTACTTGCAGTGGTGACTCCAGATGATGCTTTTCCACTCCTCTCATTGCTGATGGCTGCAGGACCTGGGGGGCTCCCACAATGTTTAACTGTAAATCCCCACTGCAGACTGATGCTCCTCTGGGCTGCACACTGTGTGCAATGAACAGCTGAGTGGGAAGGGGTTGCTGTCTCACAGGCAGGAAAAGGGATCTGGATGGGGTGCAGGACCTTGCTTTGATCTTCCAGGTGGGACCTCAGGTGTGCCAGAAACACCCTCCTATGGTCCTACAGCACCACCAGAAACTGTCGCCATATCAACATCGCCTGCTCACCCACTAACACAACTCAGACGTATTTTGGCAGATTAAACCCTCTTCTAAAACAAACCATTACAGCCTTTTGTACTGTAACTCACTGATTTACTTATTCCTCTTTGTGGTTGTACACTTGAATTCTGAGGTCAGAAGATGGGCTGGTCAAGCTGCCCTTGTTTCCCACATATAAAGGGCTTCATTACAGGCAGCGGTTATAAACTTCAGGGGCCAAAGAAAGTCTGAAATGTGTGTCCAGCCTGAACAGGGGAATGAAGAGAGCCTTGTGATAAACCAACCCAACCCACCAACCAGAGCCTGGATGGTACCTTCCAACTCTGGGAGGCTGATGGATCCATCAGGAACCTGGTCTCTCTATGGTCAATGCAAAGAGGAACGTAGGGACTGTCTGAGCCGTGTCCTGCTCTCTCCTTGGACTGGGGGGAACACGGGGCAGCGGCAGGGCACGACAGCTCAGCAGGAAGAAGCAAGACTCAAGGGCTTTGAAGCATACATCAGTATTAATCAAGGGGGGATGAACAGTATCAGCAATCGCCACATCTCACTTTTCAGAGCACAAGAAGTCACATGCAAGAGCTGCACTAGAGTAACACTGTGAGATAAGATTAAAGCTATCAGGAAAAAGGACTATTTCTGAGAGCTTCGTATTTCAGTCAGTCCTGTGGTGACCTTTGTGTTTCGACGCTCAGGCATTAAAGTATATCTTCAAGTGCAATGTTTCCCTTAGTCCTACAACCTGGCACTGGTAGGCAGCATGTGGGGGGTTCGCAGGTCAGAATTGCCCCGAACATCACTACTGCATCTTTGCAACTACATCCCTTGGTCTGATAAAAGACTTGATCTCTCTAAACAAATTGTTCTTTGTGAGAGCTAAGGTACTGTGAGGAGGAGGAAAACCACAGCAAGAACCACATGGACAGTAGGGCATATCAGTCATTCTCTCTCAAATGTTAAGGAAATAAAAGTGAAGCAGGAAGAAAGCAGTACCTCTGTCAAAGGTCTCGGTCTTCTCTCTACAACAAATTCTGTGTGGCAAAGCTCACAGTAACTTGTGTTGGAGGACGATAACCATTTTTCCAGGCAGCTCTTGTGCACGGTGCCCAGTGTTCCTGTGCAGTCACACGGGGAAAGCAGTCCCTCCCCATTTCCACCTTCATGACAGATTCGACAGATGGGACCGTCACTAAAGAGGCAGACAAACAGAATGAAATCACAGTCAGAGCAGGCAGAACGATTCAGCCACATCGGAGAACGGGGTCTGATCCCACCAAGGCCCTGAAGGGCGCACGCGCAGAGGGCAGCGTGTGACAGAGCATCCCAGACACGCTGCAACCCTCCAAAGCAGCCTGCTGCAGCAAGAAACCAGTCTCAGGGGAGCGTGGAGGTTCCCAGGGCATTTTAGGTCAGCAAAATCTGGAAGCCACATTGATGAGCACCCCAGCACCCAAGAGAAGCTGGCACATCAGCCACAGAAAGGACCACAGCGCGTGTCTCACAGTCTCCAGCTCTGCTTGCAGCAGGCAGAGAGGCTCACACCGGAGCTGAAACCAGCTTTGAAGCACTGATGCAAATCTAGAAGCCCAAAGCAGCACCGGATGATCCACGCTAGTCACAGCGTGCCCCCAGCCACCTGGAGCCACTCTAGAGGTTTGCAGTCATTGTAGCATTTATCAGATCAGCTACTCACTCTCACCCCATCTCTGCTCTGCATCCACTTAAGTAACTGTGTAAGGAACAGCAATATTTAAAGACACAACTACATTTACCCTGGAAGCTCAGCTGCCCAAGGACACAACATATTTCATGGCAAGCAGTCACCCAGACTAAGTTCTCTTACAACAAACCCTCTGCCCATCACAGTGCAGGAGCTCAGCATCCTCCCTGTGCACTGCCAGGCAGAGAGCCAGTCTGCAGCGTTCGGGGCTTTAACTCACTGCAGAAATGCCTTTGTTGAGGGATATTAGTTGTTTGCTCAGGCAGCAGGTCCTTCTTTAACACCTCAGTGCTTCAACAACCACCCTCTCCTTGGCTAGAAGTTTCAACTAAAGAATCAAATATCTTTGATCACACTCAAGATCTGCTCTCTTGGGATCTGACAGAACCAGAGCTCAGATGGAGAGAAGCATCAAACACTTCCAGAGAAAACCTTCCCCACAGCAGACCCGCACTGCTGATCACACTCCAACCACCCATTTATTCCCAAGATATTCCCTCATGTCTTTACCTGGCAGCACTGACTGTGGACTATTGTTGCTACTGCTCCGGCACCCAGCAACCTGTAGCTCAAGTGTATCAGATGATATTCGTATGACAAATTTCCATCACAGACTGAAGTAATTTTTTTGTGTCTATATAAACTCAGAGCATCCAGTGTCCTCCTGTAGCAAGGACTTTCTCTAGCTGCAAAAAGAACCAAGTCCTTTTCCCTTGAAACCTCTCATTTGCTTGTTTTGTGTACTATCCCCTCATTCTTGTCCTGTAAAAGATGTTTTCCACATCTCCCACGTTTGCAGACCTCCATCATAGCCTGCTCAGTCACGTCTTCCACAAGCAGAAGAGTCCTAGCCTATTTAGCCATGCTTCAGAGAGAAACACATCCACCTTTCTGACCACCTTCGCTACCCTTCCCTCCACCTCTTGCATTTCTAAAACACCCTTTCAGAGCTGCAGGGACCAGAGTTACAGCTTTCACAATGAGGGCACATCAGGGATTTTTGCAGCAACTGTGTTCTGTCCTTCATTGCTTCTCTAAATCTTAGCATCTCATTTGCCTTTTGGTTACTGCTGCAAGCAACCACCACATGCCCAAGATCCCCTTCCTCCAAACCCACAAACATGTATGTAAATTCCAGACTATTGTTCCCCATCTACATCAGTGCACACTGAGTGGCAACCGTTATTTTAGCCTGCATTTTAGGTCCAAGGGCATCCCAGCTGGCATCTGAAGGCACAGGTTTCATAGAAGCTACATCTGCGAGCCCCATAACGAGGATGCCTTGGGCTCCCTGGGAAACCTCAAATGGCTCTAGGTACTGAAGTTCACTATTCTCAGCAATTTAGTACATTTAGTATCACTGTTCGCCATTCACCAAGATCATTTAGGAGTAAAATGCTGGACAACAGAGGGCTGGGGCAGGGCTGCCCTCCCCCAGACCACGAAAACTAGCCACTCACTAGTATCTCAATTCTTTCCCACCTTCCAACCAGCTGTTTCTTTCACATAACAACCATTCTCTTACGTCCGTAGTTGCACCAATTTGGGGGTGGGAGGGAGGGCGAGAAAGGAACATCTTTATTTCAAAGATCCTATTGCACATCCTCTTGAAATGCAGGTGACCTGTATCAGCCATCACCTTTTCCCACAGATTTCCACAAAACCCGCACTGGTCCTGTCTCACAGTTCATACTCCACTGCTGTTCTGACTTTAAAAAAACCCACCTGCCTGCAAAAAAACCTTTGTGGGATTGCAACACAACTGTTGGAACACACAATGTGCAATCTCCAGAAGTAGTAATGCTACTTCCATCAGCTTGCACAACCAGTCAAAAGAGAAAGCAAGAGCAAGACACAGAAACACAAGCATAAGGAAAATGACTGTACTGGGGAAAAAGCTTGATGGGACACAAAGGGAAGAGAAGAGCCAGCAAGAAAGTACCCACAGCTCACTCAAGGAGAAGCAAGACTCCTCTCCTGGTGCACCACAGGAGATCTCTACCACTTTCAACTCAATGTTTAGCAGGTTTCATCCCAACTGGACTTTTAAATCCCATTTAAGGCTGTGAAGCAACGTACACCCACTGCACCACCCCGTTCTCTCTGCCACATGACTGGTGAACCACTGACCCTTGTTCTCTCCTCATTTTCATGTGCCTTTTATTTAGGGGACTCCTTCAGCCAGGACAATCCCTGCAACAGGAGTCTGGAGAGGTGGTGAGAAGTTCATCCTCAGAAATACTGAACACTGCAGCAGCCAAGACTCTGAGCAGTCTGATCCATCTGTGAAATTGGCTTTGCTCTGAAAGGAGGCTGGACCGGCTGCCCTCCAGAGTTCCCTTGCAATCTGAATTATTTGACGATTCTGTTGCCATTCTGTTGCCCACATTTATTGCCATAAATCTCAGCACTGTATCAGCACGACAAGATCACAGCCCACTCACACAGCCTTAGTGACAGGGACAGACAAAAAAAAAGAAAACCCAAGCCTCCAGTGCTCTCATGCATCTGCTATTTCCTAAGACAAGCATCTGTAAGATATTTCATCCGTTCTCTTCCTGTTTGAGAAGTTTCATATTTCCAGTGCATTAATATAACCTTGGCTACCAATAAACAATCCATAAGGGAAAATATTTGCTGACAGTGCAAGAAAAAAGTTCTTATCAGACTCCATTTTCCTTCCTTCCTCTGTGGAGGAGGGGGGAGCTGGTCACACTCCCACACGATACACCCTCAAACAGTTTTCCAGCAGGCTGTAGAGATCATACCACTAATTCAACCTTCCAGTACAGTCACACTGCTCCTGGCTTCGCTTTGCTAAGCGCTGGTGACAAAACAGAGACCGAAATGCACCACCCCCAAATGAACCAACTGATGTCCCATGAAGACCCTCACATGAAGAATCCTGTTAGGTTTTTTTTTTTAAGCTGTAATCCCAGGTTTTCCCACCCAATTTTTTACACGTCCACAAGTTTTAAGGGGTTGCATGACTTCTCGCCAAGCCTATCTGTTGTCAGAGAGAAAGCTCAGTTCCCTTCGCGTTTTTCTGGCCTGCTCCAGTTTCTCTAGATACAGCAGCTACGTTTGCCTCAGTTCTCATCGAGCTTTCCTGCTTTCCTCCCCAACATGTGCAGTCACCGCTTTCACACCTCATCGATGTTTGGTCAAATGCATTGAAAAAAATAACAGCTCTTCAGACAGGATTTGAACACAAAACGTGACCGGTCTCACAACCTGGACTGAACCACGCTGCCAAGTGTCCTCTGCTCTGGAAGTTGCTCAAAATACATGGTAAGAAGTCACCTCAGGAAGAGTATGAGCACGCGAAGCTGCCACATGTCCCCTCTAGCAATAGCTGGACACTGCAGTCCTCGCAACACAAACACCCTCCTCTCCCTGGGGCTGCAAATCCACACCACGCCTTTACTCCACAACCGTCCTGGAACAGGGGATGTACTCCATGTTCAGCCCTTAAATCACCTCCATGAACACCGCCTTTGCTAGCATGGTGTCCCACCTTCACTGCTGCTCAGCAAGGACTTGGCAGAGGTAGGGGGTGAGCGGTGGCCTGTGCCGGCCCACGCTGGAGCGGCCTCATCCCCGGGGGGTTGTGATGAACATGTGAGCCCCAGTCCACCACCCAGCCCACCACCATGGGTGACCGGCACGAGCTCCCGCAAAGAGAGCACAGGCCTGGCAACTATCTGGCTAACAAGGATTCGCACTCAATACTAGCACCCTGGCGAACTCCTTCACGAACAAGACTTTGATGTCTCCCTCTACACTTAGAGCCACAAAAAAGGGGGGAAATAAAGCACAGATGCTGTCAGCCCAAGCCCCTTCCCTGAGGCAGCCTTACCTCTGGGCGCCCAGCGCCTTGATGACGGTGGAGAGGAGCCGCCCGTCCTTGGCGGTGACCTGCGTGACGTACTGCGGGCGACCGATGTCGTTGTCCTCCACCGACTTGGAGAGGGCGGCGCTGCCCGGGCAGTCGCAGAGGGAGCCGGGGAGGTGGCAGCAGTCGCCTGTCGTCATGGCAGCTCCAGGCCCCTCTGCCCCGGAGACCTGTGGGAATGGCACCACGGTGAGAGCCCGGCACCCCGGGCCACTAGCCAGACATGGGCCGCTAGCCAGAATACGGGCCTCGAGCCAGGACACGGGCCACTCCTCACCACCCTCCTCCTGCCCTGCTCGGGCCTGCAGCACCTGGGGCCCCAACAACCATGGGTTTTGCTCTTTCTCTGCCCCTTATAATAGGCTTTGTGAGGCTGCCTTACCATAAAATTAAGGCTTCGAGTGTCCTACTTACATAATTTAGTGTCACGATTGCAAATTTGCCTTTCCCAGAGAGAATTCCTGTTACCCACCCTTTACCCTGATGAAGCCTTTCAAACCAAACGTGCCAACGCAAAGATGGGGAAGGCAACCAGAAGCCCCATGGGCCCGTGTTGTTTTGGCTAGAGCTATCCTGAAATCTTATATCCATACCCTCTGCAAAAGTTGCAAAGTTCATCTGAGCTCGGCACTTAAACCACTCTGTGTGCTCCTGTTCAGGGCACCCCTTTCCTCCAGTGCTTTCTGAACCCATTAAAGCCTGTCCACCCAACTCCACAGGCTCCCCCCTCTGCCCCACCTTCGATTTTCCATTTTTTAAATTTCTTTACAGAAATGCACACACTTCTGTTTCCACATCCCACATGGTACATCCCAACAGTGAACGTGCGGGTATTGACCACCCAAAAGCATTGGAGCTCCACAGAAAGAGCAGTGGGACAGTCGTCCTCCTTTTTCCCTTCCACTGGGTCGGACCGATAGGGATTTTTATGACAGCCACGTGCAAACAGCAGAGCACACCATCATGTTTTTGGCACCTCTGTGGTTTACCCAGCAAGGAGAACACAAGGAACAAGCAGGAAATGCAGGAACAAGGGAAAAGATGCAGAGAAAAAGCCCAAGGTGACAAACCAGGAGCTGGCTGAGGTGAGGCCGGTGCAGATGGGAGAGCTCTCTGCCTCTGAAGGAAGGCAGCAGCTCGCCCAGCGGCCAGCAGCAGCCTCCCTGGCAGGGGTTATCTCCATCCCAAGAACAGGCCTGCTTTGCAGATTCAGAAAAAAAAATCCCATTTTCTCCAATCTCCTTTAGCCTGGTCCCTAAGAGGCGGCTGCGCAGAAACAAAGAGCTGGGGTTACAATTAGTCACAAGCTGAACACAAGCCAACAACATCGTTCTGCTGGTAAAGACCAACATCCTCGCATCTGTAAACAAGAGGCTGCCTTACGTAAGGCAGGCGCAGTCATCCCTGCGCACCAGTGCTGCTGGGACCAGCGCTGGAACGGCGTCTCAGCCCGGTGGCTGGGTTTCAAGAGGGAAACAAACCCAAAAAGAAGTTCAAATGAAAGGGATAAAAGATTGGGGATGAGGAAACAAAAAAAGCCCAACTCCAAAACTTACCAAAGAAGAAATAGGGAAAGAATTAGGTTGGTTTGTTGGCGGGGGGGGAAGGGGAAATCTTCAATCACCATCTCCTGGAGGTAGAAGCAGGCAAACAAACATTCACCATCCCATCCAAGGAAATGTTTTTTTGTTTTGAGATTCCTGTGCACAACAGGAGTCAAACATTCCCATTAAACTGCAGTTTCGACAGGTTCAGCTAAGCCTAAATCAAACTAAAATAGCTAAAGAAAACAAGGGCTTGTTCCTGGTTGGAGGCTTGGCCAGACTTCAGAGGAAGAAAACAAAAACCCAGGCAGAGAACTCGATCATTGAAGCCCTCACAGCTTTCAGGGCACACTGAAAGTCAGTGTTTTTCAGTTAGTGAAAACACTAAGCACAAGTGTTCTTTTGTGTCTTGGAAATGAAGCAACTCTTGCACAACCACAGACTCCATCAGTCAGGGCAGGGAGTGCACTCACTGGGGTCTCATCACCGCACACCAGCTGCTGCCACACCCCCTCCAGTCACATACTTTCTAATTTCCAGTAGGACAGTTTCTAGTCTCTTTTTTAAAGCTGCTCTTGATAGCCATCTCTAATCCTTCCTCCGCATCTGACCAGGAATAGGCTTGAGCTGGTGGGCAGCTCAATCCCCATTGAAACAAATGGGAATCTTCCCACCAACTTAAAAATGAACTTCACAGACTCAGCATTACCTTGACTCAGCCTCTCTCTCCACCTGCACAACGAGCACACGGCGTTACAGCCACTTTTCTTATTGCTCTCCTTCAAAAAAGAGAAAGGCTATAAGCTCTCCAACTTTAAGGAGAAAAAAGTAAGATGATAAATGTTATTGGAATGACTGAAGTCAGCTGTTTTGCAAGTTAAGGAGTTCTTTCAATTTTAAAAGCCTCTTACTGAAGCAGGCATGAGAAGATATATGTTTTTAATAAAAAGGTCAGTTCCATTTGTTCAGCCAAAATTTTGTTTATTTTTAAGTCCAGAGGAAAAAGGTCCATTTTGTGTATTGGAATAAAACTGCCCTCACTCCCTGTGTCCTGGGAGTATTTATACTGAGGCTCTTTGTGCTCCACATGTGACAGACACAGGCAGCACCACGTCCTTGCTCTGGCAGCCCTACCCAGGGCTGAAAGGCAATCGCCACCCTGCAGTCCATCAGGAAACACACGGTTTTCTATTACAAGTTATTTGGCATTTCCTTGTTGGGGTCCATCCCAGGGCGGAACCTGAAGTCACTGCTTTAATATCTGACTCATGCCATTCAGCAAATACAAAGGAAAAGCAGCAAAATCTTCATGGATACAGTCAGTGAGGAAGTAACTGAAATCCATCTGCAGTGCACTCCCATTCCAGTTACATACCCAGCTGACCATGAACCACGGTGTACAGCCAAGCCAGTCCCTTCCCCGGCTCCCAAAGGCTCAGCTCATCAACACGCAGCGTTCTCTCACAACTGTCAACAGCTCATGGAACCCAAACCCGATGTTACAGCAGAAACACCAAAAACTCGGTTGGAATCAAGACCCAAACAGCTGGTTTGAACCACACACTGGTTTTTTTTTGGGCAGCTGTGATTTCTGAGCCTATTCCCTGGGGACGCATTTCTTGTTCTCATTTAGAAAAAAACCAACAACAAAACAAAAAACAACAAAACCCCCCAAAAAGGGTCTCCGAGACAGTGGGTTTATTATCAATATCCCCTCTGCTGCTGCAGTTAGACATGAGCAAATAAATCTAAAGTCTCTTCTCAGCAACATTTTGTATCCTCAGCTTCTGAGCAGATCCAGGATATAAAGGGCTGAGTTTGTAGAGATTACTCAAATTGAAAAAAAACAAACCCTGTTTGTGGAAAGCTGCCTCAGAAGAATGAGTTATGCACTAGGACTCCAAAATGCAAACATGTGTAGCGAGATGAGCCGGTTCCTTGAACAGCAGCTCCTGCTCCTCCACCGCGCTAAGACAGAGCCCACGGTGCTGGTGCAGGATCCTGCCTGCTCCACGGCTTCTGCAAAACACACCAGCAAAATATCCCCTCGTCAGGCTTCAGGCATTGCAACAAGAGGCGTGATCCAGTTTATAACATCCACAGGGCAACAGGGGTTTCCAAACTCCCTCAAATGACTAAAGAGCTCCAGACTGTGGAGAGTGGGCTGGACCTCTTCCCTCCATCCAGAAGATGCTCCCGGCAGGAACATGCAGAAGACAAGGAGCTAAAGGTTCCCCCAGCTCAGTTCTGCTTATTTAGGCTTTGCAGCCCGGTAAGACAGTTATTCTCCCAGACACAGAAACCAGCACAGGCCAGGTGAATACTGCGATCAAAGCCACAGTCAAGAGGAGAAAGCCACCAGGAAAGGCTGTGGCCAAACGAGGGGAGTTGTCGGGTGCCAATCGTGGCTCCTCTGGGCTGCCCGTGGCCTGTCTATATGATGAATATCTTGACCGGTGTAAACCCTTGGAGCAATTCTGAGGCTTTGATAGGATCCAGAGCAAACTGGGAACACAACCAGCTCCACCTTCTTCACGTGCAGCTCACATGCACCAGCTTCTGTGCAGATTAGCTTCCCTGTAACTCCTCCACCAAGAAAAAACCCACCTCCTGGCCAGGCTGCCAGCAGCAAAGTCTGTTCCTCTCACTGAGCGATCGGCTTCCCTGCTCCCTGTAACCAAGACCTGGCACCTCACTACAGTGCTGCCAGGAGATAACCGAGTTGTGTAGCCAACATAACCCACCCACCTGTACACAAGTACCTTTCTTTTCTTTAAAATAGTTAATAACCCACTCACCATGTGCAGATCAGCAAAAGCTGAGGTTTAACCCCCAGGAACAAGGCTCACAGCCTGCTTTCCAAATCCAGTTCAGCTAACTTGGGTGTGCAGACACCATGTTTTCTAATCATATGATTCTGCAAACGTCATCAGTGAACTGAAGCTTTTTGGTTGCTAAAGGGCATTTCCAAACATCAGTGTATCCCTTCTCACCACGAAAACAGTATTTCCCACATCCTGGGGCTCTAAGATCATCTGAACATGAACTTCTTGAGGGCAACAAGTACAAAGAATTGCTTCCTTCACCACATCTAAGCACCTGCCCCCACATCCCCTCTCTCATCCAGCCAATGCACCCCTTTCCACAGCCCAAGTCCAACCCCAGGCCTGCAAAGTGTCTTGCAGCCCCAGCTCTGCCTCCAGTCCCTGAGCACTGTACCTGTACTCTGGGCAACCAGCAGGGTCCCCCCTCCTCTACATCACACAGGGCAAGCTCTGGCCTCCAGCCACTTGCACCCGTGGTGACTGGGCACCCTGAGGTAGCGCCACCAAAGACAGGCGTGGGCAGGACGCCATGAGTGGCCTGAAGTGCTCCCTGCTACTGTTAAAAGGTTGCATGAGTGGTTTAATCTAAAGAAATCTAAAGAAAAAAGAAAGGAAGAAAACCCACAGCACAGCCCAGGAACTGGTCCCACACGGCTGCAGGGCTTTGGTTTTCAGTTTTGTTTGTTTAAACACACTCTCTGCCAAGGGTTGAAGACTGCAGCATTATTTTGTTCTTTAAAAAAAGTACATGATTTTGTACGTTGACTCTCTGACTCCCAGAAGTTACCATGCAGGTCTGCTGCACAGCACTCTGACAACATCCGAAAAGCCACCACAGATCTGCCCACACTTGATCCGTCTGCTGAAGGCAGCTCCAAAGCTTCACAAGAGGTGCCCTCAGGCAC